TTTGGTCCCTGTGGGCTTTTTACTTGGAAAGAATGACGTCTCTCTCTCTCTTTTTTTACCTTAGCTTTATTCTCCAAACATTTTAAAATTTCATTCGTGGAGTATATTTTGCTCATAAGCTAAGTAGCTTACCAAAAATATATATATATATATATATTTCTTTCTTTGCACCAGATTGTTAAATACAGCCTCTTTACAAGAGGCTTTATTGTTTTGTTGTTGCTGTTGTTTTTATTTTTATTTAAAAATTTTTTTTTATTTTTTATTTCCATAGGTTTTTGGGGAACAGGTGGTATTTGGTTTCATAAGTTCTTTAGTGATGATTTGTGAGGTTTTTTTTTTAACTTTAAAAAATTTTTGATTTCTTTTTAGATCTTTTTCAGTTTACATTTGTTTGGCACAAGTAAAAATAACAGGGCTTATTCAATAACAAATGTCTCTAAGGAATAAACATTAGGACACCCAAATTAGGGTCTAAATTAAGGAAAGGCAAAACATGAAGAGTAAGTAAAGAAACGAGGAAGTGAGAATATAGATGATAGACCTAAGAGATTTGTCTTAAGTTAGGGTCATGCTACAGGGAGAGGGGAGGTGATCTGTCAACAAGGTGAAAGAATAAAGCACTTACATACAGGAATGTAGGTTTATATATGATGGTGTTGGCTTTGCAGGTTTGCGGGAACCACAGCACAAGTGAGACACTCGCATGATGAAAATTACTCATGTGGATAAATAATAGATATGCACATATCGCAAGAGATCTTAACAAAATCTATTTAGCAACAATTTTCTAGTAATACACTATAAATAATCCATAATTCTTCAGTGCCTTGTATCCTACCGAGTCTCAGTCTTGGTTTCTGATAGCCAGCTCCTTAATGAATTACTAAGGACAGCAGGAAGCAGCCACCAAGATGCTGCTTGTGAAAGTTACCTTCCTGAAAACACTTTGATCGTGTCGCTTCCCTAATTACAAACCTTTACTGGCCCCTCTTTGACATTGACAATGTCCTGAACTCCTTAAGAGGGAAAAAATTGTCCTTTACTAACTAGCCCAGTCCATCTCAGATATTCTCCCCTAAAAACTCTGCTCACATGAAGCTCACTGTCACATTAACTTCAACACCTCTGCACCTTTGCATAAGCTGTTCTCTTTACTTAGAATGCTCTCCTTCCTTTTTGTCTTCTTTAATAAGATGGGCTATTGCAAAATGACAGCTTACCACTGCCAATTTCATCCAGATTGCTTTAAAAAGTTGTTTGTTGAAGGAGCTATACAAATTAAACTCAGGAAAGAAATATGTTGCAATATATCTGCATTTATCCATCCATTCTTTTGAAAACCTTAATCTTATTTATGTCTACTTTTGTACAAGCAGGCTTAATTAAGTTCAACATGTTATTATAAAGATTTTTTTTGTCCTTGATTAGTTTAAATAAAATCATTGGCAATCAATTCTCTCATTTTCAAGTCTCAACACAAGTATCATCTAGTCTCCTTTACTAGTAATTCCACAGATCTTCATTCATACTTTGGGTAAAGAATTTACAATGTGATACATAATTGATCTGTTTGCATCTGCGTCTTTCAGGCTGGATAGAGATTCCTGTATTCACCTTTGTATCCTCAGCTCTAACACAGGGTCTCATACGTAATTGCTCAATACATGATATCTTTAGATTCAAACTCCAGTCCAGTGAAATTGAACAATACACAATTTGCTTTTAATCATTCATTTAATCTTTCAACTAAAATAAACTGAGCACATACTATGTATCAGACACTGGGAATACAAAGACTAATAATATATTGTACCTACCTAGTACTAACATCCAGAGAAAAGAAGTAATCTTATACCTTCCATGTGAGAGGGTTTTCTAAGATATTCATGAGAATTTGATTTAAAAAATGGAAAATAAGGGTTGTACCTCTTTATTAGTCTTACACAGGAAACTACTTCACAGACTGTTTCAAAGAGAAATGCAGTACCTCATATAGTCAGAACAGAATTTGACAGCTGAAACACAAAGAAATTGTTCAACATCTACCATATAACTGGCAAGCTCTGTGTAAAATGCTGTAAATATAAAAACAAGACAAAATATTTGTCATTATGTAAATTTGCGATGCTTGGGGAAAAGTATACACCCATGAAACTGTTACCAGAATCAATGCCATAAACTAATCCAACACTTCCAAAGGTTTCTTCCTCCTCCATTTTTGCTATTTTTTTTTCTTTTTTCATAAGAGCATTTAACATAAGCGCTACCATCTTAGCAAATTTTAAAATACACAATACAGTATTGTTATTCATTACAATGAATAATGTAATGTATGAAGGCTCCATTTTATACAGTAGATCTCCAAAATCTACTCATCCTACATGAATGAAACTTTGCAACCTTTGACCAACATCACCCAATTCTCCCACCCGCGGTCCCTGACAACTGCCATTCTACTCTCTGCTTCTATTAGTTCGACTATTTTAGATTTTATATATAAGTGAGATCATGCAGTGTTTGTCTTCTGTGTCTGGGTTATTTCACTTAGCATACTGTCTTCAGGTCCATCCATATTATCACTGATGGGAGAAATTCCTCCTTTTTATGGGCTGAATAATATCCTGGTGTGTTTATATTTGTGTATCTGTATCTACATCTATACATATATGTGTGTGCGGGGGTATATCTATCTATCTCTGTCTGTCTATCCATCTATCTAATGTTTTCCTTGTCCATTCATTTGTCAATGGACACAGGCTGTTTCCATATCTTGGCTACTGTGAATAATGCTGCAACAAATACGGGAAGGTGGATATCTCTTTAAAATACTGACTTTATTTACTTTGGATATATATCCAGAAGTGGGTGTATGCTGGGCATTTTTATATTCCTACAAATATAATTGAACATTGTTCTGAGATGCAGCTAAATTATGCAAAAATTTTTGATTTTGGGGGACCTCGCTTTTGTGATATGGTAGGCATACCAGAAGCAGTGCTAGGTAAAGGTATAATTATTTCCCACTACTGAGGCAAGACCTTCTTGAGTACTCTACACAGTGCCCCATGAATTATGAAAAGTTCTACTTTGGTGAAAATGTGAACTATTTTCAGCCTTTGTGAATGTCAGGCACTGTTCTTTCTGATTCATTCAGGTGATGCTTTTCCTGGCCTCAGGTAGTTTTCTCACATGTGAGCACTGACTGGTACTCTGCTTCATGCTCAGGGGCTGTTTGCTGCCTATTTCCTGGATTATTTTTTGGTGCAGCTCTCTTTTTGTAAATACTCTTCTTGTGAACTCTAGCTACTTTGGCTTCCTTGGATCCTTAGTTCCCTGTTCTCAACCTAGGGAATCTGCTGAAATCTACCAGTGATCTCCATCCCTGTGACATGACCTGAAAATGCTCTTACGGAAGTAATCTGGGGCAACCACAGTGTTCGTCTTGTTTGTTTCCTGTCTCTGTGGTATCATTCTCCTACACTGCCAGATAGCCACTCTCCAGAAAACCATTGTTTCCTATATTTTGCTGGATTTTTAAATTTGTTTCAAATGATAAATCTATTCTTGTTTTTCCATTTTGCCAGAAAGCAGAAGTCACTGTCACACAATTTTGAAGCAAAAGAAATAACAAAAGAAAACTTGTTTATGGAAATCTTATCCCTTTCTAGATTTTTAGAAACATTTTCTATTTAACATATTGCCATGGTATGAATGTTTATGTGCTCCTCAAATCTATATGTTAGAATGCTCATTCTCACAGTGATGGTATTAGGAAGTAGGGCCTTGTGAGAATACTGCTAATTGCCTTCTAGCAACACTGCCATTTGAAAGATAATAATAGCAACAACAATAATAAATGGATATTGAATACTTGCCATAATAAAATATAATCAGATTCATAAATCCAGCTGAGAGACCAGGTGATTCAGTGTCTACTTAAGAAAAAAGAGCTGATTAGTAATAATATTAGTTAATGCTAAAAACATATATTATACACCAGGCACTGTTGTAATTCTTGACAAATATTTACTAATATGATCTACTATAATTAGTCTATGGGAAAGTTCTGTTTCTATATTCATTTTATAGGTGGGGTAACCTAGGCATTCTCCAGTCTCTCATCTTGTAAATGGCAGAACCAAATTTGAGCCCAGCAGTGTTATTCCAGAGTCCCCCTCTTATACTAATCTCTCTCAATTAGCCTTTAAATTTGTTTAAAAATGAAAGCCAGGGATTATCACAGCTCTGTTCATGTAGGAGTTCAATTTTTTCAGAAGATGCAAAGCAAATTTCTGAACTATCTTTGCAGCAGTGCTCATATATGCATGCAGGGAGAATATTGGGTACAGCCCAATATTGTCATTAAGTTCTTTGTCTCTGTTTTAGGGTAGAAATGATATTGCAAAATGCTGAGTTGTGGATTGTCCTTTTAGTGCTGTCTGATAGAATGTTCTGTGATGATCTAAATGTTTTATATCTGTAACATCCAATAGCCAGTAGACATACATGGACATTGAACCCTTGAAATGTGAATAACATAACAGAAATGAAAATTTTAATTTAGTTTAATTTTAGTTAACTTAAATTTAAATAAAAAAGTCACAAGTGGTTAAAAGTCACTGTATTGAGCAGAGCAGATCTATGATGAAGAAGTTTTCACTTGTCATGACAAAGGGCAACACAAAAAAGCTTCTGTGAGATACTAATTAAAACCTATGAGAACCAAAATAAAGCTCTTCTAGCCACTCTCTATGATTTCATTACACCCACTCTTCCCCTTCCCTCTTCCCTGCCAGGCAAAACACACACAACATAAACACACACATAACACACAGAGACACAGACTCTCTCTCTCTCTCTCTCCCTCTCTCTCTCTCTCTCTCTCCCTCTCTCTCTCTTTTTCTCTGTCTGGTTTTCTCTGCCTGAAATGCCCCTCCCCTATAGCCTTGCAAATGTCTCCTTCCTTCTCAAAATGTCATCTTTCCTTTCTTGCTCCCCTGAATCCCCTTAACAAAATTGATTGCTCCTGTGTTCCTAGGTGTGATGGTTAATTGCATGTGTCAACTCTACTGTGCCATGGTGCGCTCAGTGTAAACATTAATTCTGGCTGCGTCCATGCAGGTATTTCCACATGAGGTTAGCATTTAAATCAGTGGACTCCATAAAGTAGATGATTCTCACTGGTATAGGCTGGCATCATCTAACCTGTTGAAGGCCTAAATAGAAGGAAAAAAGTGGAGGAAAGAGGAATTTTTCCCTTTTGCTTCTTGCCTGCTTGCCTGAGCTGAGACATCAGCCTTCTGTGCTTGAACTGAGATTTACATCTTCCACTCCCCTGGTTGTCAGGCATTCAGAATTGGACTATAATTATACCACTGGCTTTACTGGGTCTCCAGCTTGCAGATTATAGGACTTTTCAGCCTCCATAATTGCAAAAGCCAATTCCTCACAATCTAATACGCTAGCTATAAATGACCTCTGTGATTTAAAATTAACTGTTTATCAACAGGATGGATTGCTGGAGTAACGAAAGAGAGAGAGACCAGGGACTAGAAGACCACAATCCAAACTGATTTCACAGAACTGCACAAGGGCATGAAATGTCCCTGGTAGCACGTCAACCAATTATGTATTGTTAACAATCTCAGCTTTGCTCCAATTATTCAAAAGATAATGAGTACATATTACTTTTGACAGCGTTGCCATATTTCCCTCAGTTTAGCAATAAGAATTTGTTAGAAATGCACCTCATCATCTTGCTTAAAACATAGAACTGCCAGTTTGGGACTTTTTAGTAGAAAACAATGGCATGCAGGATACTGATATGACTCCTGTGAATGAGTTGACTTCAGGAGTCCAACTTTACCGTGATACTATTCAATATGCCCAAGGTATCCCCACGGTTTGCAAGTATCCCCACAGTTTCTTGGAAGGTGCCCTTAAAGATTTCTTTTGTAGGCTGCAAAAGAAATCTTTAAGGGCACCTTCCAAGAAAAATGTAATATCTCTCACTACTAATGGGGCAGTCAGGATGCACTCCTCATATAAAAAGAATATGAATACACTACTATTCACCTGGAGGAGTGCAGTCAGTTGAGAGCCTCCTGCTCTAGTGCCCTCAGGAGACTAGATATGCCTGGGTATGGTGTACCAGGGCCTGGCCATCTGCCCCTTATGCAGAGTTCCTCCTCTGTCACTCTTTGCACCAGAGCTCTCTTTTGGTTGGCTGAGGTTTTGTCAGTGGTATACTTAATGCCCTTTGAGGCTAGGCCTGCCGAATCCTTCTTTCCTATTCTCCCTTTCTGCAGGGGTCAGACTTATATCACAGTAGTCTGAGTCTTTCTTTGTCTATTCCTGCTTCCTTTTCCTCTTTATCTTTCACTGAAATTACTCTTGATAAATTTCTTGCTCTTCTAATTATATTTTGGTGTCTGTTTCCCAGGAGACATAAACTGATACAATTAGATCAAATATTAGAAACAAGAATCAGGCCTATAGAAGCACAGGACTTACCTCCATGGCCTCTCCATCTGCTTCTAGGTTGAATTAGCAAGAGAAACATACATTGTTTCTTATTTTTTATTCATTTTTACTTTAAAAGTTGGTCTTTTGTAGAACTGTGTTCCAGAAACAGAAATAAGTTCAGCTACTGTCAAAAACTTTTTTCCCTACTTGATCCATAAAGTAAAAGAAGTAACAGGTTACAGTAACTGGCAAAGTGGGATTATCTAGTTTTGCTATGCCAGTAAGAATGAATTAAGACAATTTTTTTACAATAGGAACATACACAAATATAAATCCATATAAATAATTTTTCTATTGCCTAAAAAAGATCTATGATTCTGTTTCTTAACATATATGCTTCCCACTAGACCAAACACAAATTTGAAAGGAAAAAAATATTCTGGAATTGGTTCTTTTTTGAAAGCTATATGAAATATTTACACTTAGGCCAATCATAAGAAAAACCCTAAATTCAAATGCAGAATTCTCTAAATTCTTATGCTTATTGTAGACACAACGAGAACATTCTGATATTCAGAAGTTTGGCTTTGTAGAATGATAATACCTCAATTAAGTCTAACCGTCCTGTGGAAATTTAGATTATACTTGGTAGCAAATCATCATGCTGTGAAGACATTATAAATTCTATAAAGCTATATGACTTTTTCACATATTAAAATAAGTAAGAAATCAGTTTAAACTTACTGGAACTCCTTTTCTAAAAGGAACTTTAGAGGTTGTTTTTAAGCCACCACCAGCACTGACTTTATTGTTTTAAAGCTATTTCTCGGCATTTAATGGAAAAAATGAAAAACAGAGTTACCTGTATTGCTCACAGATTACCTCTAAATTATTTTGTTTATTTTTAAAAGTGAAATCCCTCCTCAAATAACAAATATCCATCACATAAATCTTTATCACCCCTGAGAGGATGTAAATAAATACTGGCAGATTATAAAGACTTGTTGATGACAATTTAGACAGCAATAACTCCAAGATAGACCTAAAAGTTCTGCAACATGACCAGATCAAGTGGTGAAAGACCAAAAGTCAAAGTGACGGGCTAGGGAGAGATCCCAGGACACCTGGGTGCTAAACCTGCCTCTGCCATGTTGGAGGAGTTCTTGACCTTTCCAGGCCTATTTCCTCACTCAGACTGTGAGAGGACAGGTTTTGAGGATGTCTAAGCTTCATTCAATTAGCAAGGCTACTTCCCTTGGATAAGAAGAACCAAGAGTGAACCATAAATATTTCCAAGGTGTAAAGTTCGAGCATAAAGAAAAACCTAACCAGTCTTTCCCTCCGTCTTCTCACGGAAGATTGATTTAGAAAAAAATTAACCATCAAGTACAAATGAAAAGATGTTTAACTAGTCATAAAACCTGCAAGTGTGATAAATGAAAGCAAGTAGTTGAACAAAACTTGAGATGCTTTGTACCCTTCTCCATCTTTAATCTGCCCTTACACATCAGCTTCAGGGCCTCCATGAGAGGGGTCATTAAAGACCTAGGGATTACAACAGAAGGTTTTTCGTAAGAAGGCTCAGTTTTTCCCTACAACACACTTGCATGCACATGCTGGTCAAATAAATCTAGCCCATTTGACTAAAACAGAATGTTTCTCTTCTCTTCTTCTTTTTCTTCTTTTTTCTTTTTTTTGAGACAGATTCTTGCTTTGTTGCCCAGGCTTGGGTGCTTTGGTACAATCTTGGCTCACTGTAACCTCCACCTCCTGGGTTCAAGCAATTCTCCTGTCTCTGTCTCCCAAGTAGCTGGGACTACAGGTGCACGACACCATGCCCAACTAATTTTTTTTTATTTTTAGTAGAGACAGGGTTTCACCATATTGGTCAGGCTGGTCTCAAACTCCTGACCTCAGGTGATCCATCTACCTCTGCCTCCCAAAGTGCTGGGATTACAGGCATGAGTCACCGTGCCTGGCCCAGAATGTTTATCTTTTGAGCTACTATTTTAAATAAATAGGATAGAACTTTTCGATTTCTAAGACCACCAAATAGTTCTAAGAACACCAAATAGTGTTCTTTTAATCTAGAAGACATTATCACTGTCATTGTTGATATAGCATCTACTCAGTTACAATCCTGATTTTCAAAAGTCAAACCCATGTTGCAATCATTACACAAGAAAGGAATTGAGGATAGGGAATACTAAAGATGTCGAATGTTATCTCTGAAGGAGCCAAGATTAAACTTTTTATGTCATATTCATTTTAGTTAATTTCTAAGTCTTTAATAATCCAATTTGAACACAGTTGGGAGTGTCCTCATTAATCTAGGTCTGATGACATGCGCAAAGCCATACTAGTGAAGGGAACAAATAAGAAGACTGGCAATCAAAACATAATAAACCATGTGCCATAATAGAAGAAATCCCAAAATCCAGTTTGAGGAGATGAAGAAAGCAGGATATGAATGGGAACCTGAACAATGAGGGGAGTAGCTAGATTTTGGTGGGATTTGGGGGAAAGGGAGAACACAGGGTCAGAACAGTATTTGTAAAGATTCCAGAAGCATGAGAGATCAGATAATATTTAAGACTAAGTATAGAGTTTGGGATAATGGGAGCAGATAATGGCGAATGGAAAGACTGGAGAGGCAAGTGGGACCACATCATGATGGAAGGACATGTTGAAACTCCATTTCCAAACACTTTTCACCTACATTCTGAATCTTCATTTTATCTCCACAATAAACATGCTTAGAAAACATACTGTCATTTTCTTTTTTTCATTTTTTTTAAGACAGGACCTCATTCTGTCACCCAGGCTGGACTGTGGTGACATGATCATAGCTCACTGTAATCTCAGACTCCTTGGTTCAAGTGATAGAACCTACTCTTACCTCAGCCTCCCGAGTAGCTAGGACTACTGGCATGTACCATCACACACAGCTATTCTTTTTATAAATTTTTTTGTAGAGATGGGGTCTTGCTATGTTGATTAGTTTGTATTGGCATTTTTATAAAAGGGAATGAAGGCTCAGAGTAAAGTGATTTGCTAACATTTCTTTAACAAATGTGCTCTATATTCTACTCATAAGACTGTCTCCTATATCCTAAAGTGTTAAAAGGTGGCTGGAGGAGGAATGTTGATAGCAAGTGTTCTCCTGCCATTCATTCTGTAATTCAGAAGTTACTCCTAAGCCACAGACTTCCACACCCATCTGCATTACCCATTAGAAAATTCAACCATGGCTTTTATAGGATTTAAACCTAAGACTGATTCCCTAGAGGGTCGTTGGCAGAAATAAAAAGTGACTCATTGGACAGAATTAGTATCCTGGGATTCTTGCTTCTATTTTTAAAGTTATTAGAGCCAGAGAATTCAAATTATTAATGACAAACTTCATGGGTAAGTTAACCAAGTAAGAATGACAAAATTTTCCCTGGATTATAAACTGCACAGTCACCAACAACTTGGCAAGATTAGGAGCAAAATTTGTACAACAGTTGAGTAATGTGGTGACTTGGCCGTCCTCTCTATATGAGTGACTTGTCACTGGCTATGAGATCTACTAAACTAAATCTAGATAGAAGGGGCTTTTAAGTAATATCAAGTTGATACTTGAACTCTGACTGGATCTTAGATTTATTTCTCATTTATCCAAAATTCCTTTTTTCAGCCAGATGAAACAATGCTCAAAACATTGAAAGTCAATATGTGTTGATAGCAGGATTCCTAATTTTTGATCAAGTAAAATTTATGTTTTCATGTCTTCTCAATTCTTTCCAGGCATTCTTGAGTTGGGAAGCATAAACAGTATTGAAAATGATGAGTTAAAAAACATTTATCCAGATATTGAGTTTTGTTGAGATTTCTTACAGTAATCTGTACTACATGGCATAGTTCAAATATACAACACTTTTGCTGTTGGAAATCTGGTAAGCTTCCCATCTAGACAAGATTTTGGAAATCATATTAGGTACTAGGCAAAATATGATCATATGAACTACATTTTGATTAAAGATTAATGGGCATATTAGAACTTTCTCAAAGTTAAGCAAGAAATATATCTCAAATTACCTTAAGCAAACAGACAGAAAGGAGGAAACCTCATCTTAAGTAAGTGGGTCAGGTACGAATAGACTGAGGAGACCATGCAATGTCACCAGGCTTTCTTCTTCATCTCTGGATATGCTTGCCTTGATGTGCTCTTCATTCATAGGTTGATATGGTTAGATTTTGGGTCCCCACCCAAATTTCATGTTGAATTGTAATCCCCATGTGTCAAAAGAGAGACCAGGTAGAGGTAGCTGAATCATGGGTGTGGTTTTCCCCATACTGTTCTTGTGATAGTGAGTGAGTTCTCAGGATATCTGATGGTTTTACAAGGTGCTCTTCCCCCTTCGCTTAGCACTTCTTCCTGCTGCCTTTGGAAGAAGATGCCTTCCTTCCCCTTTGGCTTCCACAATTATTGTAAGGTTCCTGAGATCTCCCCAGCCATGCTGAACTGTAGTCAATTAAGCCTCTTTCCTTTACAAATTACCCGGTATCGGGCAGTTTGTTACAGCAGTGTGAAAACTGACTAATACATAGATTTTCCAAGTCTTGGCAAAACAGTGCCTCTGAGCTCCATTATTCTAACAGCTGCAGATTCTAGTGAAAGTAAACACCACTCTTCCTGGCACTTAGAAATACAACCTGATTTGAGCTACCTGCCCATTCTTCATCACAGTTTGCAGAGGGAATAATGAGTACTCGACTGACCTTTGATTGACCCTGAATTTAGTTGACCTTGAAGTAGGAAATGGGTTGTTTCTCCAGAAGGAAAAAGTGCAGAGCAAGTAAAAATAAATAAATAAATAGCTTACAGATGTCTTCCACACAGGCAAATCAAATACAGAAAATCTTTCCACAGGCAAATCAAATACAGAAAACCTTTCTCTTTTGGTAGCCAAAATAGATAAGCATCTTTAGAAAACACATTTTTGCAATACTCTCTACATATTTGAAGAATATATTATTATGCTATTAGAAGGAAAAAGATTGTCTTACTCTTCTACCAACAAAAATTGCTTAAAATCACAATTTTTTTCCCAGTAACCAAACTATTAAAATACATTTTAATGGACTTAGTTACTTTAAATTCAAGTAACTATGAGTTAACATATTCTCTGCAGTGAAAACACAAACAAAAAACTTTGCTCATAATATATCTTAATGGAAGTTAATTAGCTGACACAGCTGGCAAAGAAAACAAATAAGAAACAGAATGATATTTAGGCAACTAACTAAATTAAAAAGCAGGTCTCTGTTTCTGGAACCTGTCATTGTGCTATATGCCCCCAAACTCTCACACTTATTGCTAAAAATCCCTAGTATCATTCAAAAGTTTCTTTACCTCAGATACTTTTAATAAAATGTTGACAAATTCATCTCTGTACACAACTTAGGAAAAAAAACCCTCTATTCCATGACTGCTCAATAAATAGATGTTTACTTGTAATCTCTTCTTCTGATAGCTGACTTTGGGATTTGAGGCAGGGAAAAAGCAGGCAGGGGCAGCGGGAGGATGGAGAAGAGGATGTGAAGATAGGGAACAGTCAGTGTTTCATGTTAGACCTAAAAACAAAAGAAAGGAATTCTGAAAGTTGGCGCAGTATCACATTATAAACAAAATGCCTTCCCAAGCGATTGTATAAAAGGCATTTCACAAGTTAAACAATTACCCTACTGCCATGGTTGTGAAAGAGCAAAGACTAAAAAAGGAAACAGCCTACCTTCTTTCTCAACCCGTTAAGGCAGATATTCTCAGAATCTTTGAGGCTGAATCTCTCATATGAGTTGATTCCATAACATTCTCTCTTAATTCCTATTCATTCTAGAAGTGTGATTTGCAATCTCTTCCTTATGAAATTAAAAAGTTTCTTTTTAACACAATTTGATGCCGTCTTTTGACTTAATTAGGCCATACTATGAGCTTTGACTTAATTGAGCCATACTATGGGTTTTTCCCACTCAGAAAATGAGGTCCATAAAGCTAGAGGTTGGAGAACTGCCCCGAGAGGATTTGATTCCTTCGAGGTGGGCTTTCTCACCCACCCCGTCTTCTCTGAATAGACCTGATCAGGTTGAAGTGTTATTTCCCTCTACCTGAGCTTCTCTAATTAAAGACTGGTTTCCGGGTCAGAAATATGGTCGGTGCATACCACTGCTTGCTATGGAGAGTGTTTTGCATATATGGATTTTGATAATTACATTTTTTTATTCTGATAAAAGACAGTCAGCTGCTTACATATAAAAACAACCCATAATAACCTCCTATTCACAGAACTGCAAATGCTGACATTGGTTTGTTCCATTGTTTAGACTTTCCACTTACCCTGCCTGTCCATTCCCCTAAACCCATTTCAGTGGAAAATGGGCACATGGTGCATGAGGAAGACATACCTGCTGGGACCCATAGGAAAGGCCTGCAGCAACCAGAGGAACTGGGAGAATATCAGCCCCTGGGAAGGAAATCACGTGCTTTGGAACAGTTCATTTAAAACATGATGGGGGCAGGTAAGAAAGAGGGAAGAGAAAATAAAACTTGTCTTTGCCTGGCTCTGCTCCTACTGGTTTTGCTACATCCTGCAGAGAGGGGTGTGGAAGTTAAAAGCACTTGTGTTGTCTTAGTCAAGCCTAGAACTGAAGCTGCCCAACATCAAACCTGCCCAATTGCCTAGGACCAGCATTTCCAGCACTTCCAGTTGTCCATATCTGCACTTCCAGGAGTAAACAGGCAACTGAAATGCAAGTTGGTCAGCAAAAATCCTGGGAAACAAGTTCCTGGTAGAACAATGGCTAGATAAGAGGATCACTTCTGTGTCTGTATTACAGTGAGGTGCTAAATGTCACAACCCAAACCACAGGAGATTTTCAAACCAAAATCATAGCTTGAACTGCAGTGAGCAGAAAAGCATTAAAAGTGTGTTAATACACACTTGTTAAACTTTAAAAAAGTACACTGCCAGTACACATGCAATTGTCTGCTCCATAACAGACGTGCCAAATTTTTGAATATATAAATTAAAAATTATTCCTAGCTGCTGTGGTTCAAAGTAGGTGTCCCTCCAAAGTTCATATGTTGGAACTTAAAGCCCAAAAGGAACGTGAAGCCCAAAGTGATGGTATTAAGAAAAGGAGCATTTGGGCGTTGATTAGGCCACACGGGCTCTGCCTTCTTAAACTAATTAGTGCTTTTAGTGGTTTGTTTTTTTTTTTTTTTTTTTTGAGACAGAGTCTCGCTGTCGCCAGGCACCAGGCTGGAGTGCAGTGGCACGATCTCAGCTCACTGCAAACTCTGCCTCCCGGGTTCAAGCAATTCTCCTGCCTCAGCCTCCCGAGTAGCTGGGACTACAGGCACACGCCACCATACCCAGGTAATTTTTGTATTTTTTTAGTAGAGACGGGGTTTCACCCTGTTGGCCAGGATGGTCTCAAACTCTTAACCTTGTGATGCACCCGCCTCAGCCTCCCAAAGTGCTGGGATTACAGGCGTGAGCCACCGCACCCGGCCAATTAGTGCTCTTATAAAAGAAGTTGGGATTGCTCTAGCACCTTTTTGCCTTTCCATCTCTTCTGTCATGGGAAGACAGCATTCTTTGTTCCCTTTTTACTCCTTCCTCTGTGTGAGGATGCAGCAAGTAGTGCCTACTTAAAGCAGGGAGCAGCTATCACTAGACACCAAATCTGTCAGCACCTGATCTTGGACTTCTCAGCCTCCAGACTATGAGAAATAAATGCCTGTGGCTTACAAATTTCCAAGCCTGTGGTATTTTGTTGTAGCAACAAACCCAACACTAACTTTAATAAGCTTCTTCTCTTAATGTTTAATATATTGTAATTATGTAATCAATTATAATTGGAAGAGTGTAATAGATTGTAACAGATTACCAAGGCAGACCAATAAAATGAAGAGTCTACCTGACATCACTTTTTGAGGCCGTTCAGATTCCACCGACCAAATAGAATAAAAGGTCATTGTATTAGTCAAGGTTCTCCAAAGAAACAAACAATAGAATATATACGCGTGTGTGTGTGTGTGTGTAATGTATATGCACACACACACACGTGTATATCCTTACATAATGTACATAATGTACTTATGTAATGTACATGTGCACATACACACGTATATATTCTTGACAAGGTTAGGAGCAAAATTTGTACAACAGTTGAGTAATGTGGTGATTTGGTTGTCCTCTCCATATGAGTGACTTGTCACTGGCTGTGACATATACTAAGCTAAATCTAGATAGAAGGGGCTTTTAAGTAGTAACAAGTTGATACTTGGACTCTAATTTAGCATTTATTTCTCATTTGTCCAAAATTCATTTTTTCAGCCAGATGAAACAATGCTCAAGACATTGAAAGTCAATATGAGTTGACAGCAGGATTACTAATTTTTGATCAAGTAAAATCCATGTTTTCATGTCTTCTCAATTCTTCCCAGGCACTCTTGAGTTGGGAAGCATAAACAGTATTGAAAATGATGAGTTAAAAAACATTTATCCAGATATTCTGTTTTGTTGAGATTTCTTAACAATAATCTGTACTACAGGGCATAGTTCAAATATATAACAGTTTTGCTATTGGAAATCTGGTAAGCTTCCCATATACTATATTATATATAGTATAGGTGTGAATATATGTGTATGTATATTACATATTAATATATATATTTATGATACATGCCATATATAAAAAATATAATATATAAACAGAGCATGTCTCATATATAAAATGTATGATACATAATGTATAATATATTTCTAAATACATATAAATATTATTATACAAATAAATACAAATAAATATGTATAAAATATATTCTATATTTTAATATATAAATAAATATATATAAATTAATACTACAATGAATCTTTCTCTCATTTTATATATAATTTTGTATATAATTAGTATATAAAATTATATACTTATATATTTATCTAATTACACTTTAAATAATTATAATTATATTAATATATTTACTGTAAATCCATAAATATTTATATTTGTGATTTAAATATAATTATTATATAAAAATAATATACAATTTATATAAATTTTATATTACATATAAATTTTATATTACATATAAATATAAATTTTATATAATATATAAATTGTATATTATAATATATAATTGTATATTACATATAAAAATAATGATTATATATTTACATAATTAATGTGTAAATTATATATAATGAGAGATAAAGAGATTTAGTGTAATATTTTTATATATTTAATAATATAGATAAAATTATTTGGATTATATATTTACATATACTATATAAATGCATAAATTATATATAATTAATTATATATATAATTATATATTAATTCTGTTTTATATATAATATGACATTATGTATTAGATAGTTATATATATTCATTAAATACAATATATATAAAATGAGAGGGAGAGATACAGACAGAGAAACAGAGAGAGATTTATTGTAATAAATTGGCTTACATGATTGTGGAGTCTTGACAAGGTCAAATCTGCAGGATGGGCTAAAGCGCCAAGGAAGAGTTGGTATTGCAGCTCAAGTTTGAAGACATTCTGCTGGCAGAAATCCCTCTTGCAGTAAGTTCATCTTTTTCTCTTAAGGCCTTCCACTGATTGGATGAGACCTACCCACATTATGGAAAGTAATCTGCTTTACTCAAAATCTACTGATTTAAATGTTGATCTCATCTAAAAAAAAAAAAAAAAAAAAAACTTCACAGAAACATCTAAAATGTTTGACCAAATATCTACATAGTGTGGCCTAGCTAAGCTGACAGATAAAATTAGCTGTGACAGTCACTTTCTCCAATATAAGCTATTCTGATCTTGTTTGAACTTTCAAAGGCCAATTAGCAAGAGTCAGAGGCTAGGAAGTATTTAGAGCTGAGAGAATGTATTTTGTAATTAAAAAAAAATGAAATACCTATGGAGAGTTATTTGAAGTTAGTAACACGTTAAGATTCTTTCCTAAAACATGAAAAAATAAAGAAAGAAATTAATTCCCTTGACCTTTAACTTGGGTTTCTCATCTGTTTTGGAATATACCACCGTTCTAGGAAAATAATCATACCAATTCCTTCCTTGTAACTGACATATTTAATGATAAGATGTAGATAAATTATATAGGTGATAAATGATGTAGATAAATAATATAGGTGAAAATTCCATTGACTAATTCAAACTTGCTGCTTCTGACTTAGATAAAGAATGTGTGTTTTTTTCATCTCAGAAATTGTCAAGAAACAGCTTCTGGAATTTGGAAACATAAAATATTTTTCTTAAGCCTTACTTTAAAAAGATACATATGTATGTTTCACCTCTAGAATTTGCCTTCTATTTTTCTATGAAGATAGTTCGTCAGTGCTTGGTAGCATTACTGTATGCAACCCAAAAGGCAGTCTTAGAATGGGGTGGTGACCAGACAGCAACTGTCCCAAGTGGTTCTCTAGGAGGCAAATATTCAAAACTCAAAGACTCCTGGGCTGGATATAGTTGAAGAATGTCACAAAATATTTGAAGTAGCCACATAAAACCTACCTTTCCAGAAAAGCTTCCTGGCTTTCATTTTCTTATCAGAGATGTTTCCAGATATATCAAAACAACTACAAAGGTAACTTGATTCTTCTACGCCTTATCTCCCTTTAAGTACAGGACTTCACTACCCTGAGACTACACATTCTTTACAAAAGACATGAATCTGATTTCTGGAAATGAGAACAAAATACAATTGTAATGAATAATTTCTATTTATACTTTATTATTGGTGGCAAATGATTATTTCCATATTTTTTAGCTCTTATATCTTAGATCAATGAAATGTGTAAAGCAGTCATTTAATAATCATTTCAACTTGCTATGCTGAGGATATGTTTATTCCTTCAACATATTGTGTAAACCATGTACTAGCTTCGTGGGGTACACTGGAGATTCTGAGAAGAGTAAGACACAGCTTCTAACCTCAAGGAGGTCTTGTTCTAGTTGGAGATGCAGGTGGTGCTATGGGTTAAATGTTTTCCCCATCCAAAATTCATGTTGTAACTTGACCCCTGATGCATCTGTATTAAGAGGTGAAACTTTTAGGTCACTGAGTCATGAGGGCTCTGCCCTCCTGCATGGAATTCGGTTCCCTTTTAAAAGGGCTTGACAGAGGAAATTTGCCCTTTCCCCCCCTTTAGTCCCTTCCACCATATGAGAGCACAGCACTCCTTCCCTTTGGAGGATATGATAGCAAAGTGCCATCCTAGAGGCAAAAATCAACCCTCACTAGACTGCAATCCTGCCAGAGCCATGATCTTGGACTTCTTAGCCTCCACAACTAAGAAAATAAGTATCCGTTCATTCTAAATACTCAGTCTGTGGTATTTTGCTACAAGAACACGAACAGACAAAAAAGGTGGGTGAACAAATGTAGGTGTCATAACAGCCAAGACACAAAGATGGGGGTCAAGCCTTCTTCAGAGAGTGGAGGTTATTGACAGTCCAAGTCAGTAAGAAAGATATAAATTCTCCCTATGTCTACTGCATGGTCAGCAATAGATTTAGCCTTCCCTGAGTGTGCTGTTGCCCTTAGCTGTGAACAATTTGACTCAAATTGAAGAAATTTTTTGAGGTTTTCATTCATAGCTGGCAGGCAATGGGCTACATGGACTATGGAGTCTGAAAGACAGGGCACCTCTCACAAAGCCTGACCGGAAGGGAAAATAGGAGGCAGCCAATGTAGAACCGGTGCCTGAAGTGTGATCTTTAGGGAGCTGGAGCACTTTGTCCTACAACTATCTAACAAAAGAGCTACCACCCTCACACTCCTAGCTCAGTCATGCTTCATCTGAGGGTTGCTAAAATAGTGTAGGCCTTTATTGCATTTGTTATTTATATACTGATGCCTACTCCCAAGAATAATGTAAGCTTACTTGAAGTCACACATACAATATTACCACTGAAAGAATACATAATGTTTTAAAATAATTAAGGAAGTAATAACTAGGTAATTTAATCTAGTTTAATGCAACTGAGCATTAAATTTAGCTCTATTTTTTACTGATAGTCAAAGAGAAAAGGAAAAAAGAAAGAAGATGGGGCAACAGGATGAGTTCACATGCTTTCATCAACATAAAAAGAAAATGAACAATTTAGAAATGTCTTTTTTTTTCGTCTAGGAGAAAATTCAAAGAAGGATATCGTGTAAGGATATTTCTCTAAAGAGGATTAGATAACTAATAGTAGTACAAAGGATGAAAATACATAAATACAGCTTGTAGGTGTTGGGGAGGGTATGAATTCCGAATAAAAGCTGAAGGCAAATTGTTAAAGCTTTTGAAAGGTCTTTCTACGGTGAGCCAACAAAGTGACAATAACTCCCACTATTATATGTTGACGCTGTATTAGGGCTTTACACATATTTTCCCTAATAATGTTGGGAGGTACATACTACTGTTCTTCTAGGAGTTTCCTAGGGGAACTGTAAGAGATTGAGGATCTTGGTCATGTAAAGCTCAGACATGAATCTGGGTCTTCCTGGTCTAAAATCACATTTTTTCTACTCTGCTCATCCAGGCATGTAGATTTCTATTGATTTGGTATGGAAATAGAGGCAAGACAATGTGGAAATGCAAATTATCATGTTCCTATCTCTCCGAAAACCACTGTCCAGGTCCAACTTTTGATATAATCAAGAGAGCAAACAATTTGAGTTTGAGTTAACAGAAAAATGCTTGCAATATTAATATTTTCCAAAAAAAAAATTCAAATGTTTTCTATACCATATCATTAAGAGACAAAACTGATTTTCTTTTACATGAAAATTAGAGCCAGATATAGACTTTCCAAGTCAAAGAGTAAATTATATCCTTGCACAAAAGTAGACTGTGGGGCTGGTGAGAATTAGGGCCAAAATTTTTCACAATAAAGCTTAAAAACAGCATATATCATTAAGGACTCGTGCTTGAAAGTGATAGAAGCCCAATTTGAATCCAGATTGAGAAAGATGAATTTGTTATCTCACAAAATCTAAAGAAGTAGTGAATATCTAAACCATGTGGAAGACATTAAGTTGGGTTTCAGGAACTGACTGTCTCAGGAACTTGAACGATGCCAGATGTCTTTCATTTACTTTCTCTCTCTCACTTAATGTTCTCTCTCTCTCTCTTCCCTGCCTCTCCTCTCTGCCAACTTTATCATACACTGAGTCAGTCTTTCTCTTTGTGGCAGGAAATATGATCACTGACAGTTCCTAAGTTTTACATCTCAATTCCATTACAGGACAAGATTGCCTAACACATACCACATCAACTCCCAGTAAACAACTCAAGGAATGCCTCTAATTAGAACAGCTTGGTTTGGTTACCCATCCTTAGAGCCCTCAACCCTTTCTAGGAGTCAGAGTTGCAGTGGAAGGAGGAGTAGTTTCCAGAAAAATGAGTTGCTGTTTTTTCAGGAGGTATGAGGTTGTTAGTAGACAAATAATAAATATTCTTCCCAAGATTGTCTAGTCTCAGTGGCTTTTAAAAATACAGACTAACAACTGTCAGTTCCTTCTATACAATAGAAAATATTTTGCTTAATTGATGGATTAAACTTTTATTTATCAATGCCTTATCTTACTTGAAAAGAGATTTAAGATCTTTAAAGGGCAACATAAAATACAGCAATAAGCTACAAATAAAATATGCCAATATATAATAAACTATAAATTATAAAAGAATGAGAAAGAAAAAACAAAACATGGGGGCAAAAACTAGAAGTAGAAATGAGTCAAACGAAAGATGGAATCATACTGTCATTTTGAGCTACAAATTTTGTTCTATGACAGTGAATGGTAAAAGGGAAAACTGATTGGTGATCCAGTTCATGATACCCATAAAATGAAAACAAATAAATTTATCTAGATAAGGCTGACTTACCTCCCTCACATTATCACCAGAAAAGAAATGTTGAGGCACTTTATAGAGAGTGAGATATCTAACATGAGTTCCACAGGAGGCTGCACAGAGAGATTATCAGTGCAAGTCCAGAGCATCATACCAAATAGAATTCAGGAACAATAATTCAGTAGGGGGTCAAAAATATATTCTGGAGTTACATGTCTCAGCGTTTAAGAGATTTAATTCAATGAAAGTTGTTATTCATGTATTCAATTAGCAATTTTTGTGAGGTACCTACTACTTGACACAGTGAGAAAAAAAGATGAAAGGAGATTTTCCCAAAGGAATCTGTGGACATTGTTTCCTCCCATTGAGTTTTTAATAGATAAACTTGAGTGACAAGGAATTCAAGAGTATATTCTCGATGAAGTAGCTAGCAATTCTTCTATGTTGCCAGTTCAGCAAACAATTATATAGCTTCCTGCAGGGAAGAGCTAGTGTTACAATAAATAACTTGTGAAAAATAAAAACACCTAAAGACATTTTCCTGAAGCCATCCCTCTTCCTCTTGGAGGTGAGTGAGCAAATTTCAATAGGCAGAACCGAGATCATCCTTAGAAAATAATAAATTGTCAAAATATCCCCAGTTTCTGTTCCAGATAATTTGGCAGTGATGTTAATTGATTAAGAAAAATTACAAGGTGACATATCTGAATGCCTGTTTCAACATAGTAAGAGCCCTATAAAACACATGAGAAGAGCAAGGTTTTAACTACGTTCTGGCATAACCTCCAAGAAGGACCATTGCACACAGCAAGATAAGTGGAC